CCTGATATATTTACACAGAGCAATCATATCGCCTCTCAGCCTTCTTTTTGCTAGATTAAACAAGCCAAGCTCTTCCAATCTCCTCTCACAAAATAGGTCCTCCATTCCCCTAATCATCCTACTAACTCTTGTCTGCCCCTGTTCCATTTTGAGTTCATCTTTCTTGAACATGGTTGACCAGAATTGTACACAGTATTCCAAATGAGGTCTTACCAGTGCCTTGTATAACAGTATTAATGCTTCTCTTCCTCTACTGGAAATGCCTTGCCTGATGCATCCTAGGATCACATTTTCCAGATCTTTCTACTCCTCCGTCGCTTCCAACTGAGGAACCTCTAGTTTATAGCAGAAATTCTTCTTATTAAGAATAATCCATTATCGTCCGTTACTCCAGTCTCCAAGATCTTCCTGTATAAAACTCTAATCATCCTGTGTATTGACGATGCCTCCCAACTTTCTATCACCAGCAAATTTCATTAGCACAATCCTACTTTTTGTGCCAAGATCATTAATAAAAACACGAAATAAGATCAGTCTCAATACTGAGGAACTCTACTAGTAATTTCCCTCCAGTCTGAAGTTCATCTTTCAGCACAACACTTTGCCTTTTCACTTTTAGCAAATTCATTACCCACCTTACAATCCCTGTAATAATCCCTTTCTTCTCTAATTTAACCAATAATTCCCTGTGTGGCACCATACAAAATGTTTTACTGAACTCCCAAGCAAATTAGATCTCCTGCATTTCTCTTATCCTCAAAAATCATTTATTTTCTCAAAGAAATATCTCAGGTTAGTCTGGGATGATCTACCTTCGGTAAACCCATGTTTTATTACATACCCTTTTCCATTTACCTCCATGAGTTTAATTATTCTTTCCTTCAAAATTTGTTCTAATCATACTACTGATTAACAGAACTTTAATAGCTGGATCAACCCCCCCCCACCTTCTTAAATATAGGTACATTAGCGATTCTCCAGTCATACCGTAGTATTCCTAGATTTATTAAAAATCCTTGCTACTGGACTAGCAATCTCACGTGCCACTTCTTTCAGTATTCTGGGATGGAAATTAAATGGTTCCCTCCAATTTGAGCACATGACGCTCTGAATTCTTCATCCACTTCACATGTGGTAATTTCCATTTCTATACACTCATTTCCATCAGACATCCTTTTTGCATGCCCAGGTTAAGCAATCACTACTTGTGCCGACTGAGATCACGATTACAACCAATTTATGCCTACACACCTGTTTCTGCTATAATATTGACCTCTTAACCTCTGTTTTCACCTTCCATTTGTCCCTATTCACTTGCAGCATTTTGTCTAAATCTTAAGTTGTGAGCTCTCTGGGACAAGGACCGTCTTTGTTTTATTTGTATAGTGCCTAAAACAATAGGAAACAAATCCCTAAATGGGATCCTTAGTATCACTGTAGCAAAAAATGATAACCAACGTAAGTGTTTTCCTGTTAATTTTTAAATGTTAGGAGATATGTTCACAGTCCACCATTATACTCTTTCACCAGTAGATTTTGTAGAGTTCACTCACTACTGAAGAACATAAACTGGAGCTAAGGGCAAAATCTGTCACGTGCTCTAGTCTAATGCTGTACAGTAGCACCAGCCATCTCTTTACGTTTGTTCCCATTGAAGGATCTGAGCAAATCACTGGACTGGGTCAAAATAAACTAACTCCAAAATTATTGCAGGCTAGGTAGCATCATCAAACTACCAGCTAGCTACTAACACAGTTCTACGTTGACAAATTGATTTATATATTTCTGTAGCTCTCAAGTGCTGAAGGGAACACAGAAATAGCTTTGCACTCCAACCCCCCCTCCCCCCCAAAAAAACCCAAAACAAAACTAAACAAACCCTCACTGAGAAAAACAACAACAACCCTTTTTCCCTCTTTCTAATTTGAGTTAGTTTGGTATTCAGTGTATAGCTTAAGACCCATGCTAAATGTCTTGTCATACAAGCCTTAACTACCATTCAATTCCACACCAATCCCAGTCTTTGTTGCCATTAATCTTGTTTTTCTGACATCTATTCTAATTTTATTTCATTATGCCCCCCTTTTTATAACTAAAAATTAAGCTCCCTAAAATCAGTGGGGGGGTTTCTGAGCTTCTTACACATTATTTCATTTGTTCCAATAAGAAGTACAAAGTATCCTTGCACAATGCATTAGTTAATACATTATATATGTCTAGTATACCCCAGAGGAGCTACTTACGGATTGGAGGCCAATAGGAGCTTTTCCTAAAGTAGTAGAGAACTGTAGTTGTGACTAACCTCTTGGCTGATATTCCTTAGTATTCACTCAAAACACTTCTATTTATAAGAACATAAGAATGGCCACACTAGGTCAGACCCTATGGTCCATCTAGCCCAGTATCCTGTCTCCTGACAGCAGCCAGTGCCAGATGCTTCAGAGGGAATGAACAAAACAGGTCCAGACCCAGCTTCTGGAAGTCAGAGATTTGGGGACACCCAGAGATGGGGTTGCATTGCTGACAATCTTGACTAATGGCCAACGATGGACCTATCCTCCATGAATTTATCTACATCTTTTTTTAACCCGGTTACACTTTTGACCTTCACAACATCCATGGCAATGAGTTCCACGGGTTGACTATGCATTGTATGAAGTGCTCTAGTCTAATGCTGGATCAATCCCCCCCCCCCTTCTTAAATATAGGTACATTAGCGATTCTCCAGTCATACCGTAGTATTCCTAGATTTATTCTAATGCAACTGTTCACTTGCATTTTTCACTTGTATTTCCTTTTGTTTGTTTTAAATCCATTGTCTATTAATTTAATTGGCTGACCCCTAATTCTTATGTGAGGTGAAGGGGTAGATCACACGTCCTTATTCACTTTCTCTGCACCAGTCCTGATTTTGTTGACCTCTGTCATATCCCCCCTTAGTAATCTCTTTTCCGAGCTGAACAGTCCCAGTCTTATTAATCTCTCTGCATGAGGAAGCTGTTCCATCCCCCTTACCATTTTCATTGACCTTCTCTGTATCTTTTCCAGTTCTAATAGATTTTTTTGAGATGGGATGACCAGACCTGCACTCAATATTCAAGGACTAGGTTTACCACAGATTTGTACAGCATCATTATGATAATTATCATCTAATTATCTATCCCTTCCTAACGGTTCCTAATATTCTGCTATTTTTTTTTGATTGCCACTGCACATTGAGCAGATATTTTCAGACAACTGTCCACAACTCCAGGGTCACTTTCTTGAGTGGTAACACAAATTTAGATCCCATCATTCTGTATAATTTGAGTGGTAACACTGATTTAGATCCCATCATCCTATTGTCGTTGGGATTATTTGTTTGAATGTGCAATACTTTGCACTAATCAACATTGAATTTCATGTGCCCTTTTGTTGCCCAGTCACTCAGTTTAGTGAGATCCTTTTGTAACTCTTCGCAGTCAGCTTTAGACTTAACTATCTTGAGTAATTTTGTATTGTCTGCAAACTTTGCCACCTCACTGTTTACCCTTTTTCCAGATCGTTTATGAATACGTTGAGCTTCACAGGTCCCAGTACAGATGCTTGGGGGACCCTGCCATTTACCTCTTTCCATTATGAAAACTGATCATTTATTCCTTCCCTTAGTTTCCTATTTTTTAACCAGTTACTGATCCATGAGAGGGCCTTCCTTCTTATCCCAAAAGTAGCCTTTGGTGCAGGATCTTGTAAAAGGCTTTTTGAAAGTCCAAATACACTATTTCTATTAGGTTTCAGAGTAGCAGCCATGTTAGTCTGTATTCACAAAAAGAAAAGGAGTACTTGTAGCACCTTAGAGACTAACAAATTTATTTGAGCATAAACTTTCGTGAATGCATCCGATGAAGTGAGCTGTAGCTCACGAAAGTTTATGCTCAAATAAATTTGTTAGTCTCTAAGGTGCCACAAGTACTCCTTTTCTTATTTCTATTAGATCAGCCTTGTCCACTTGCTTGAACATCAAAATAATTCTAATAGATTGGCGAGGCATGTTTTTGCTTTACAAAAGCCACACTGACTTTTCCCTGGCATACTGTGTTCATTCATGTGTCTGATCATTCTCTTCTTTGCCTGGTACTGAAAGCTAGGCTTACTGGCCGGTCACTGTCAAGATTGCCTCTGGAGCCCTTTTAAAAAAATCAGTTTCCAAGATATGGGAAAACAAACAAACAGAAAACCCCAGAGATGCTAAAGCCTGTAAATAACCATGTCAAAGATAACGGATGATATCCTCCTAGAGCTCCTGAAAACTCCCTGATCATGTAGGGGCAGGTCAGCAATATTTGTTGACTAGGATGTTAGGCTAACTGACCCCTACTGTCCCTCTTAACCCTGTGATTTATTGAGGGTTTATTATGAATTCTGTAAACATCTCAATCTACCATTTAAAATAATTATTTCTATTTGACTGACACAGAAGCAAATACTGTAGCAGCAGTGCCTTCAACTATTCCCCTGAACCTGCTGAAACAGGAAAACAATGTGGCTGAGAGAACACAAAGACTGTTTGAAATCTTCTCTAGATAGACACAGAGATAAAAGACGATAACTACAAAGTATGCAGCTTGTACAGTGAAGGTTAAATATGGGCTCCCACTGCCATTACTTATCCCCTGAAACAGCTGGGAAACTTCCCAAGTAGTTAATATATCACAGGACTAGAGGAAGTGAGTCTGACTGCATAAACATACCTCAGGGCTTGCTACTGTTCCTATTAACTGCCTGTCTCAGTAAAGGTCTGCTATTAGATAGACTCCTGCTGCATCCATGTTGATTGAATGCTACAGGTAGGGCAGAGAATTAGAGTGAAACGTGCTGATAAAATCCATTTGTGAGAGGTTTTCAGAGGAACGTGTATGTGGCAATTTTGTGACAAGTCGAGTGAGGTTTTGGTGGATCACATGTTCGAGCCCATGTTTGCCATCCTCCTACAAAAACTGCCTATCACTTTCTTCTTGCAGAAGGGAAAAAACACCGAAGAAGATGGGACTGTGTGTTACACAGAAAGGCGTAAGTCTGGCTCAGGCTACATCCATGAAAGGCAACATTGATCAAACCAAAGGGAAGGAAGAGAGTTTGAATTTATATAGGAAGCAGGTGAACCTTACAAAATTATCAAGGGTTGATCTCCTGGGGTCAAAACAAGGCAGGGAAAAGCGTAACAAGGATGGAAATCTATTTTAAGAGGTTTTATGAGTGAAGGAATTTGTTGGGACTGAAATATCTCTTTTTGCTGCTATCTTGCTGCCTGCAATAAGAGGAGTATAAAACTGTACGACACTCAGCAGTTTTCCTTTGCAAGGATTTGTGTCCACATTTTCTTGTACCACCAAGTTTTGCTTTGGGGGGGTCACAAATACAGAAACGCAATGCCAAACACAGGTGAAATATCAAGTGTTTGCCTCTTTGGGGGACAAGGGCACGCAGAACTGAGGTTGGTATGTTTTCAACCTGATGTCATGATCCAGGAACCCCTATCTGACTCCCCCCCAGGAATTCCCAGCCCTGCCTCACACTCTGCTTTCTTCTAGTAAGGACTGAAATTTATTCAGGTGTCCTGCAATTTCCCTCTCCTCCCAACATCTTTCAGGACAGCTAGAGCTGGGTGAGAACTTGTTTTCCTGTCCCACAAAAACATTTGAAATTTCAAAAAAATTCCCACTCCACACTGGGATGAAACTGAGACCCTCAAAGTTTTTCACAAAACCAAGAGAAAGAGAGAGCATGCACCCCACCCACCAGAGCAGCCAGTAGCCAGGTCACTTATCTGGGATGTGGAAGACCCCAGTTCAAGTTCCTGATCTCAATCAGACAGAGTAGGGCCTTGAACCGGGGTCTTCGACATCCTAGGAACCAGACTATTGCATATGCTGGAGAGGCCTCTCTGTCTCTCTCTCTCTCTCTCATTTTGACCAGAAAATTCCATCCCAGACCCGAGAAACATCTCTCATCAAAACCAGTACGTTTCCACTAAAAGTTTAAGATTGGGCATTTTTCCAATAAAAAAATCCCCAATCAGTTCTAAGTGTAAGTTTTCCATCTGTCTCCACCTCACCAGTCTCTGGGGGGAGCAAGCTGATCTTTTCTCTCTAATGTGTTTTTGGGAGCAGACCAAACAAGCATGCTCTCCCCAAGGTATATAAAATCAGCATCCCCGGAGTTTGCCAGGTTCTCTGCTCTACTCCATTCAGCAGCAGCTGGATGCCAAGGATTATGGGCGCAAGCCTAACCCACTCATGTGTGTGTGTTACAGGTCCCGCTTGTGCCCAATCCACAGAGAATATGAGTTGTTACAGCCCTCAGCTACAGAGCCTTGGCTCACTAGTTCAGACATAGCAGCACATGCTTTTAGCTCTGAAGGTATTTTGGCCAAGATGGCGGCCATTACATTAACACAGTCCTTGTGCTCACTTGATCAGAGCTAGCCACCTCCTGAAGGAAAAGCGAAGTTGGAGCATCTCTCGGAGACATAGGTAGCAGGCAAAACACACCTACCTGCAGGCATGGGAGCTCCTGGAGCTGCCACTTGGCAAGGCGTCTCCACTCTGCCCCAACTACAATCCTGTCAGATGCTGAGCACAGGGTTCCTGATTGTGAAACTCAGGGAATGAAACAGCTATTTTACCCATTCACCTAGAATATCTCAGATATAGGCTAAAAGGTGGATATTTTGGAAAGATAAAAGCAACTTTCGACAGAGGGTTACAGTGGAAATTCTCCTGCAACCTTCTTTAACTATAGCAGTCATTGTCACTCTCACTGTAAGTCTTAAGGAACAAAATGCAATGCAAATTGTATTTCAACACATCACAATTAGGGTATGTCAGACAGATGCCTTTGAAATGAAAGAATGGTGATAATTACCATGTATAAGCAAAAAATTTGGTTTTACTGTTCAGAGAACTTCTTCCCCTTTATATGAGGGAATGTAGCATCTGCCACTGATATAATGCACCAATAATTGAAGCATATAGTGTAGACTCATGGGGACCATAATGCTGTTTTATTTATTCTTGGCCAACTGTGAATATAAACCAACTTCACTAAAAGCAATACATATGGAGTCCTGTCTTCATGGAGAGCCTATATTTTTCTGAAGACAGGCAAGCACTGAAATACAATAGAACCTCACTTAGCCATGCTAACAGGGTTGGGACCAGCAAGGGCTCGGATAGTGCCATTGTGGGTGATGTCACACCTTCTGCAAGCCATGAAGGAGTGCCGCATGGTGCCTCCAAAAGCCTGTGGGGGAGGGGTTTTAAGACTTCTGAGGACTAGAGAGGCTAGAAGGTCCAAATCAGCTCCATCCTCTAACCCAGGGATGGCCAACCTGAGCTGGAGATGGAGCCAGAATTTACCAGTGTACATTGCCAAAGAGCCACAGTAATATGTCAGCAGCCCCCCCCCCATCAGCTCTCCCCCCCCCCGCTCCCAGTGCCTCCCACCCACCAGCAGTCCCACCGATCAGTGCCTCCCCCTCCCTCCCCGCACCTCCCGATCTGCTCTTTCATGGAGTGGAGGAGGCTCTGGGGGAGAGTGGGGAGGAGCAAGGGCCCAGCAGGCTCAGGGGAGGGGGCAGGAAGGGGTGGAGTGGGGCAGGGCCTGTGGAAGAGCCAAGGGTTGAGCAGTGAGGACCCCCCAGCACCTTGGAAAGTTGGCGCCTGTAGCTCCAGCCCCAGAGTCGCTGCCTATACAAGGAGCCGCATATTAACTTCTGAAGAGCCGCATGTGGCTCCGGAGACCCAGGTTGGCCACCCCTGCTCTAACCTCCCACATGTGGCAGGGAGGGGCACATTAGATCTGGCAACCAGGTGGACAAAAAACACACACAATGCCAAATACTGTGTGCATGTGTTACCACCTACATGCACAATGAAGAGCACTTAGTTATACAGTACCACAAAACTCGGTATGTATCATATGTATTCCAATGTATGCATTTTAATATTTTTCAACGTAGGAAAGAAACTAAAAATGAAATAGTGTGGTCCACTTTCACTCCATCTTTTCTTCCTCTCTAGGTTTCTAATGATGGTTTCCTCTGTTTCAGTTTCTTTTTTCGGTTTACATTTTTCCTTAACACCACTCCTCTTTCATCATTCTTTTCTCTTTGACACATTTTTCTTCTCACGCTCTCTCCCTCCTTTCCCCACACTCCTTTTCTTTCCCTCTCTTTTCCCCTCCCCTCCCACTCTCCTCAGGATGGTCTCTACCCATTCCTTTCCATCTGTCTTTCGCCTTTAAGATCCATGTCAAGGGAAGGGGATATGCACAGGCAGGATGGCCCTTCCCTTATCCCCACTGGAGAGGAGGTGAACCTGGGGTACCTCTTTTCTTCTACCTCACACAGGCAGAAGTCAGGGATGAGGTAATAGAGACAAGAGACCCCACCAGCCAGAGCAGTAAATTAAGGGCTTCGCTCCATTTACCGTGGATTGATGCTGCGGCGATCGATCCACCGGGGGTCGATTTAGCGGGTCTAGTGAAGACCCGCTAAATTGACCGCCGATCACTCTCACGTTGAGTCCACTACTCCACCCGAACGAGAAGCATAAGTAAGTCGATGGGAGAGTTTCTGCCATTGACCCAGCACAGCGTAGACACCACAATAAGTTGACCTAAGGTGAATCGACTCCAGCTAGGTTATTCATGTAGCAGGAGTTGCGTAACTTAGGTCGACTTAACACCATAATGTAGATCTGCCCGAATAAATCAGATTAAATCAGACACAGCTCGAAGATCCCCTTGTTCTCTGGGGGCGCGTAGGAGGCTGTGGGTTGAGCAACACTTTTAAGGCCGCGCCTGCAACATCCAAGGCTGTAGCTGGAGCACTTGTCACAGGCCGCACCGTGCTGCTGTTCTTGAGGCTGTGGCTGAAAAGAAGAGGCCCGACTGCTGTGCCTTACGGTGCAAGGGGACAGTTTGCTGGGGTCCAGTCCGATGGGGAGGCTTGCAGAAAGGCTGTTGCCAGTGCCCCACTTCCCTGCTGTTCAGTGACACTCCTATTGTGTTTCCTGTGGGTCTGAGCCCAGGTGTGGGTCTGTGTCAAGATGGCCCCCAGCTCCCTGTTGTGGAGGGAAAGGATAGCTCCTAGCTGACGGGAAAATGGGAACTGGGTAGCTAGGGAGTTACTCAGGGCAGAGGTGGCAGGGAGTATACCTGCAGCACAACCTCACTGACCTGCAAATCCATCCAGTGATCGGCAAATCAATTTCAAATGTTGATTTGTGCACATACAATAAGGTTCTAAGTGAAGCTTTGTAAGTTTCTACCGCACCTGCACTGCCTAAGTACAAGAAAAACGAGTATACTGGTAGACAGACTTACACTGGGCCTTTAAAAGAGTAGCCCAATGTTTGGTATTGATTTATTAAGTTCCTTAAAACAATACTTGACAAGTCTGAGGTTACATAAAATAGTCTCACATTAGCATTCAGCACCACTACTGTAGCATGAGGAAAAGAGATGAAAGGAGAGCAGTCAGAGACAAACACACTGAAGTCAACGAGAGTTTTGCCTATATAAGAATTGCAGAGCAGGTTCTTGTTTACTAAGGTGGATCAATCAGAAAAAGAATTTGGTGTGTACTGACTGGAAATGTGATGTTACCATTAATATAGTTTTATGCAAAATTATTGATGAATAAAATGAAGCTTTGCACAAGCTAGATTATCCTAATCTCTCCCCCCGAACACACACACACACACGCACACGCACCAGAAGCATACTTGGTGTTTACAAACACAGAGACAGGTGTTTGCCCTAAAGACCTTATCATCTAAGCCTTTGTTTCATGGCTGGGAAGATTTCATGAGGGATAATGTAAATACGTTGAAGGTGCATTTATTCCTCAGTGGGGCTAGTTGGGATCAGGTGTCTGTTTTGTTATAGGGGATGAATGGAGGGGCTGGAGGCTTTAGAGGAGGCCATTTGTTTTGTTAAAATCACTTCTTGATTTAATTCATAAGTTTTGGGTTGTTTTTTTTTTATTGTGCTTAAAGAGCATTGATAGATGCATTACGATAGAACCTCTATTTTATTATCTAATTGGGGATTGAGGCATTCGTAAAAATCAAAGTTCAAAAAATTGAACATCTCACAATTACAGTAAGTCCTGTGCATAAATTGCAGTATGTTGCACTGTATTACTGTTTTCTTGTCCTTCAGACTGCTGCAAAGTGATTTCCAACGCACTGACAGCATCAGAATGTGAAAAGTTGGGAGCCTGTTCTTCCTG